GGTGAAACGGCAATTATACCATCAGATAGCGCAAGAAATTCTCTACAGGATGTGCTACTGAGAAGCAAGGCAGAATGAGTTTTTAATCAGCAGTGAATGTACAAAAAATAGGTGCACAAAACGCTGAGAACTTTCCGGACAACCTAATAGTAAGGGGGAGATAGTGGGAACCGCAACAAAGAACTCTATACTACACTGACGCCGGGAATTTGTTAGGTAGGTGGCGGTAAGGCACAAGGTGTACAGGAGACTCTGCCAAAAAGTCAGCGAAGCCGCCCACGCTGATAGAGATCTTAGCAGTCGTCTTACTCGCCGCTCTTGTCTGGCTTCTCGCCCGAGAAACACATCGGTTTCTTGTCTTTTGCTTAGCACAGAGAGAGCCGGATTTCGCGCGTTTCCGACTGTTTCCTTAGGATTTTTAGAAGCGAGTCACTTTACATGTACACTTCTATTTCTAACCCGATACCAACGAACTTGCCGCTAGCTCGTCGCAAGTTCTGCCTTCAGAAAACCGTCACAGACACTTATAGAAGGCTATGCCTTCAAAATACTCTGTTAGTGTAAACTCCACTTACTCTGTGCCCTGCATCACAATGGAATTCTTTCTCGTTTTAGAGATCAAGGCATCAGACCATTGCAGTGCGACCACAGCAAAGAAATAGCCACTGTGACAACTTGCTTCTAGTCCTTTTCTGGCAGCGTATGTCTGAAACATCCCCTCTAGGATGGAAAGGGAGGAAAAAGCGAGTTCCATTTAAGCGGAATAAATGATATCTGCAAAACTTTTAGAAAACAGCACACGAGTGCTTTGTACAGTTAATGAACTCGTTGAAGGCAATCCTTTCTGGGATGCGCTACGCATTCTGCTTGCGTCCATAATCGTAGTGCAGTTTGAATACGCTTTAGTCTACACTGTGAATTGTGAAGGTCGATCGGGGTGCAGGCTAGCGCTATAGTATTCCACATAAGTATGGTGCGAACTAACCGACATCTGAGAGATGTAAGGCTTGGTCGAGTCACTCGGAACTGCGCTATATTTAACCCTGTGCTGTGCACGTGGAACGTGGCACACTTACTGCTACACCACGCCCTCTCTTTTTAATAATCGGCTGCTGATATTCAACTATCAGGAAGTTTTTTCAATCAAAAATCTCTAGCAGGTTCCGTCGTGAAGGGTACGAAACCCACAGTGACAGCTAAGTAAAGCTAATGGAGATCAAAACCCACCCACTGCTGACCATAGCTATCCTCCAAATCATTAAGTGATTCACAGTCCCACAATTCACGCTGGTTTATTAAATGCAGAGGTCTCCAACCATGTGCCATCATTATTGCTGAATAAATTAATGCTCCAGGAATGGTTGTGAACAGCTGTTAGTACTTACTTACCAAAGTAGGTCACAAAACCGGCATACATTTGAAAAACACCCACTTGTAAATACGAGAACAGAATTAATCTGAAATACTAGACGAATCAAAGGAGCAGCTGATATTACAAAGTTGAATGGTTTATAACATCGTTTGTCAGTCCGGGGGCAGAGTGAAGAGGGCGGGATAAGTCCGCCTTCGGTTCCCTTGCCCTACAATGGTGATCGCTCAGTGATCGACTAAAAGGAAGAAAACAACCAGTAGTGGGAACGCCGCAGGTGGGTCAGTCGGGTATGTGACAAGAGAATCGTAATTCGCCGCGCTGGTGGGCGTCGCGTGCGACGTCGCGCCCGCAAATGACGATGGTTCCAGGTAGTAGATGGCGACAACAGGCAATTCAGAACCGAAAATAGTCATGAATGTCTACGATGACGGGTCTACATGAAGTCCGTGCTCCAATCGACAGGTTAACACGAGTCAAGAAAACGCCGCACCCATCGCCGCATGCGGTGGAGCGGCTAATTACGATTCTCTTGCCCGTATTCCGGGTTAGTCGATCCCTCTTGAAACCGAACCGGCTGATTGCGATGACGTCAACTGTACATCCTTGATGCGCGGTAGGTGTGGCTGCGTACATGACGTAAAATGGGTTGTCCGCGGGGATGGCTAATGCCGTTTGGACTCCAGCAACTTCGGCACCGAGCTCATTTTTAAATTACCTAAGTCGCCAAACCCGCTGAAAATATGTACACAAGGGTTATTTACCATCCTGATTACAATTATGACACTCATTCTTGGCGCTGGCGCCAAGGGATGACACTACGATTACCTCTTGGGCTCAGCCTTAGCGGAGCGCAGGTAATCGTGTCATCCATTAGCGCCAGCGGCAAGAGTGAATGTCATATTCGTAATCAGGATGTTAAACTACCCCTACATACAAGTTTTTAGCGGATTTGGTAACTTAGGCAATTTAAAAATGAGCTCGGTGCCGAAGTTGCTGGAGTCCAAACGGCATTAGCCGGGATACTGAATTTGATACAGCTGCCGTCTCCTCTCGTAAAGGGTGGAGATATAGTTACAGTGGTCCCGAAGTGAATACATACCACAAAAGCGGGGTCGCCGCACCGTTCAAAAGAAGTATGTAGCCACGCCTACGCACCTCAGGGATTTGGAGCATATTCGACACGAACTTGATCATCTAACCTTATGTTAACAAGCCTGTCGTATTCAGGATTTCTGGGAGGTCTTTGCATAATATCCGTTTCAGGAACCTCATATGCAAGAGAAATGGCTGGCCACTAAACATGGAATTGGTATGAGCGATGAATTGAAAATACTCCAAAATTCAAACATATTCTCCGAGATAGAAAATCGCCGGTAATGGGATCCAGATGAGTTTTTGTAGGTGTATGCCTATTGAGTTACTAGTAGAGAAAGCAGAAAGGTCTATCAAAAACATCCCGCATGAGGAGCTTGGGTTAGAGAGCCAGCTACAAAAACTTTGAAGCGGGACATCTAAATATCATGGGTAGAACCGGCTGAAGAAGACCTGTCAGACTCAAGATGCAGTCGTTTGGCTGCAGATGCTGGACATGAGCTGGGTTTGCCAAGGCGCTAGATTGTTCCCAACCAACTCTTGGAGTAGGCAAGCAACCGCGACTGGTGGAAAAAGTGCTGACGCCGCGCCAAACTCCACCCACGTGACAGGCTTGAGCGAGAGAAAATACAAAATTCTTGAGAATTCCCATCGCAAAAGCGTTTAGCGTGGCAAGTGTACATTATGTCCGGTCTACTCATCGCATATCTGGACCTACCAGGTGATTACGGTCCTTAAAGACTAGCTTTTCCATTGATAGGGACACTTTAATGACCTCGCGTTTGGACTGAAGTGCACAGTCTTCAAAAATAACCTCCTTGATCTGTCCGTCTTGAAATGTGCCGCGCATTGAATTGTATATATCGAGACCCGACGTGAGGTTTGTCCCAAACAATTTGGGTGGGGCACAAGAACTGAAAACAACAACCCATGTCTCCACCATGTGTTCATAGCGAGTTTCTCGAAATTTCGTGCTGATAGGGTGCCAAATGTATCCAGTGTGCGGTTCATGCAGTTTGTAGACCGGAGTAGTGAACATTAGCCCGTTGTACGGTTGCCGAGGAGTCGGCTTCGCTTCTCTTCCCCGGGAGGGCGGAACCGGAGCCGCCGGGCACCCGCTCTGCCGCGATGATGCCGACGGTTGGCAGGGTGCTTGCACTCTGCCCAGCAGTGTGGTCGGGCACACTGCTCCGTCTGGCGGAGCTCTGGCTCTGGCCCGTGCCTGTTATACCCGAAGGCACGGCCGGCTGCGGGTTGCAGCTTGTAGCCGCAGGGCGCCATTTACCGCTAGAACCGCTGGACGCCATTTACCGCTAGAACCGCTGGACGTTGGAAGACGGATGGTCAGTCCAGCTACGGCAGCATATGAGAATAGAAATCGGGAAGGTTACCGCTAGCACGTGAGTCAATAAATATGTAGTGTTACATATTGTAGATGACTGGGCAAGTGGGCCTGTAAAACTCTGGTTAGGCTTGGGAGGTTCGGTTCATTGTAGGTGTAAGTTGCTGGTTATAATGGTTCTATCATTTGGTTGTTATGTCTTTCATGGTCATGGAGGGTTAGGTCGGTATACAAATAGACCGGTA